AAAAATATAGTATCTGTTATGAGATGAGCAGGGTACCAGGTGCCCCTGAGGGAATGCGGTAGGATGTCCCAGTGATAAAAAATGTGTACGCTGCATCGAACTAAGCTTCAAGAATTTGCTAGGTCAAATAGCATCAGAAAAATCAATGTAACAGGAAAAAAATGTTCATTTGTTGGAGGATGGTCTAGATTAAAAGAGACAAAAAGATATAAAAACTGCAATGCTTTAACTTAAAAGGCTCCCATTTGGAGGGGGGGAAAACCCACTAGATGTTTATGCAAGACTTATTTGGAGTTGAATAAGAAAATGTGAATATGGACTGGATTTTTGATCATATCAAGGAATTAGTATTAATTTTCTTCAATGTGACAAAGTTTTGTGATTATGTTAGAGCATCTCTTCCTTATTCTCAGATGACATTGAAGAATGTAGGGATGTGGTCATATAATGATGCAGCTAATTTTCGGTAGAAAGTTGCACCTATATAAAGCAAACTTGGCAAAATGCGAAGATGAGTGAATCTTGGTTGAAAATATGCAAGTGTTCATTTATTGGTTCATTGTTTCTGTATGTTTGGAAAATTTCAAAATTTTTTTAAAAAGGGGGGCTGGCTGGTTAGCTCAGTTGGTTAGAGCGCAGCCTTATAACACTAAGTTCACAGGTTCAGATGTCTCTGCCAGCCAGCCACCAAAAAAAAAAAAAAAGGAGGTAGGCAAAACGCTCACAACTTGTAGAAATCTTTTCACCCCACACAGAAGAATCTCCCAACAGCAATTGCCAGTCTCCGTTTTCTTACCAAATCCCTGGCATTAAGTCCTTTTGCCTGGTCTTTGTTCTTTTTGCATCTAGAACACACAAAGCAACACTTTGTGCAGGGGAAAACTGAGCCCAGGGTTTTTAAAAAATGTCTGTGCCCCCCTAGCTGAACTAGGGATGAGCTAGGGATGGTAGCAGAGGATCAGATCAAGCATATTTTCAGCAAAAAGAGATGTGCTGTTGCAGGGGCCCTGGGCAAACAGTGAGGAAACGCCGATTCCAGAGCTGAGCAGCTCTGCCCACACTGCGGGGGGCGAGCTGGCCCCTGCCCAGTCTGTCACCTCTGCAAAGTGAGCAAGGCCCTGGGAAAGGCCCAGCAGGAGCTGCTGGAGTCGGGGCCTAGAGCTGGGCCTGAAAGCCCCTCCACTGGTCCTCCTCACATCAGACTATGGCTTTTGAGATATGAACAGGAAGTCCTTGGTAAGGCAGTTTCCTGAGGAACAGCTGCTCTGTCTGACGTGTCATTGGAAGGTGAAAGTTTGTGGGTGCATTCACCTCGACTCTTGCTACCCCTGCCCACCCTCTGCAGGTCCAGTCACGTCTGCCCCAGGAAACCCTGTGAAGCAGAGAAACCCTGCCCTGATGTGGGCTGCTTCCTGGGCCCTCGGGTGCCTCACCTCCCCAAGGCCAGGGAAAGGGAATGACCATGTGCCAGGCAGGGAGCCAGCGGTGTGGCTTATGTTACCTCCCTTAAGCCTCAACACTCTACTTTACAGATGAAGACACTGGAGAGTAGGAGGTAAAAGTCTGTGCTCCACATGGCAGAGCCAGGGGCAAACCCACATCTACCTGCCTCCAGAGACTCTTTCCCACAGGCTTCCTGCTGAAAACCAGGCGTCCTGCTGGCTTGGCTCACTGACCATGGTTGATCTGGCAGCTTTCGGAGCAGGCCTAGTGTGAACTGCCCTTGAACACTCCAGGCTCTTTCTCACACCAGGGCTGGTGCCATTGGGGACTGTGCCTCCATGTCACCTCCAAGAGGCTTTTTCCAACCACTCATCTGAAATAGCATATCCCCAAACCTTCTCTGGGACATCACCTTATTTTGTCTTCTTCAAAGCAGCTACCAAGATTACAAACCACAGGAC